TCACAGCAACCTCAAACTCTTGAGGATCTCAAGTGATCCTTTTGCCTCAGCCTCCCAAGTGGCTGGGACTACAGGTGCCTGCCACAATGCCTGGCTATTTTTAGAGACAAGGTCTGGAACTGGAATTCAGGCAGTCCACCTGCCTCAGCCTTCCAGAGTGCTAGGATTATAGGCATGAGCCACCTCACACGTTTTTAGAGACAGGGTCTCGCTCTTGCTCAGGCTGGTCTCGAACTCCTGAGCTCAGGCAATCTGCCTGCCTCACCTTCCCAGAGTGCTAGGATTATAGGTGTGAACCACCATGCTCAGCTGAAGTTGCTTATCATTTTATTCTCTCCTGACCTAGCCTTAGTTTCTTGGTGTATAAAATGGACAGAACAACCTGTGCTATTATTGAGTGGTGGTGTGAGTAGTTTCTGCACAGTGGCTTTGATTAGCCAGAATACATGTATGGTTATTGAATTACCTTTGTCTGTTTTTAATGGAATCTTCACTCCTGGACTTTTGTGAGTTTGTTTCTCAATTAGTATTGCTTGTGATGATCTCTTGAAGATTAAATTCAACAACAGGTTGCTCCTACTTTATGCCAGGCTCTGTTACTAGGCACTAGGGATATAAAGATAAAATATGACTTAGTTCCCCCCCCCCCCAGTTGAGCAAGATCTAATGGGATAATAAATACACAAATAATTCTAGTACACTGTGGTAAATGGTATAAAGGGAATATGCATAGTGTTCCATAGAGCCTAGAAGAGGACTACTTATCCCAGCATGGGGGTGTAGAGAATGCATTTTGAAGATGGCTTCTGAGCTGACTCTTAAAGGATGAGTAGGAGTCAGCCATCTGAAAAAAGGTGGTGATGGGGGTGTGTGGAATAGAGAAGGAAAGAGGGGTGCTCAGGCAAAGGGAATAGCCAAAAGAATAGTACAGAGAAATTAACTGCCTGGTGTACGTGAACTATAAACAAACCAATAATGTTAGGAGAATAAAAAGTGAGACATTGAGACATGAGGTTAGAAAGGTTGGAACGCTTGATCTTAGAAGGATTGTTGTGCTGCAGTGTTTTTTTTTTTTTTTTTAGTGAGACATGGTCTCACTATGTCACCCTCAGTAGAGTGCCATGGCGTCACAGTTCACAGCAACCTCAAACTCTTGGGATTAAGCGATTCTCAGCAATGCCTCAACCTCCCAAGTAGCTGGGACTACAGGCACCTGCCACAACACCTGACTATTTCTTTGTTGTAGTTGTCATTGTTATTTTTAGCAGTCTTGGGCCAAGTTTGAACCTGCCAGCCCTGGTGTATGTGGCTGGCACTCTAACCACTGAGCTACCGGTGCCAAGCCAAATTTGCAGTGTTCTTATAGGTAAGGAGGGCGCTATAGACAGGCCTTAAGCAGGAAAGTGATACGATCAGTTGTACATTTTCAATAACTAGATGTTAGGGATGGATTTATGTGGGTTAAGATTAATGGTAGGGAGAACCTTAAAGAGGCAGTTGCTGTAGTTCAGGTGAGAGATTATTTGGATCTGAACTATTGGCAGTGGAGGTGGAAAGGTAGAGCAGATTTAAGAACTGTTTAGAAGTGTAATCAACAGGAATTTAGAATTGGGTGACTGGAGGTTGTGGTCAGAGGGAGGAACGTATTGGACAATGCTGTCTGGTGGGGCAGTAGTGCACATGTGTAACTAGAGAGGAGTGAAAGTTGTTTGACTTGAGGATTGGCTGGGTTGTTGTTAACCAGCATGATGGAGGAACTTTGTGAATCAAATGCTAGGCTATATAGTTAATGTACGGCAATGATTGGTCATTGACAAGGGGATTGATAAATGGCATCTATGAAGAAGGGTTAGATGTTTGTATTTCCAAATGGTGTGAAGATTAAGGGAATACAAAATGGCATAGGAGAATTAAAAGAATGCTTATTGTAGGAACTTAATGTTTGTTGATTTAAATCTGTAAGTTTTGGTGAATATTATTGATCAACCGTCTCAGCAGCTATGCATTGGGACTTGGTTAGATTGTAGGAAAAATGGGGATGGGTTTGTAGAGAGATGAGTCTGGGCTGCAAAGGTCAAGGATGCTTATGTCTTTGAAAGTTCTTTCGGCTCGGCGCCTATAGCTCAACCGGCTAAGGCGCCAGCCACGTACACCTAAGGTGGCGGGTTCGAATCCCCACCCCGGATCCGCCAAAACAACAATGATGGCTGCAACCAAAAAATGGCCAGGCGTTGTGGCGGGCGCCTGTGGTCCCAGCTACTTGGGAGGCGGAGGCAGGAGA